AGAATGATATTCTTTACATCCTTTCTTTCTGTCTTTCTTTCTTTCTTTCTTTCTTTCTTTCTTTCTTTCTTTCTTACTGGAACATTCTTTATAGTGTGTGAAACATACACTTAGAAATGTAGTGCAACTACAGCAGTACTCATCAAATGATTACTGTCAGTGACTCACTCAGAGTAGTTGTCACTATGCCTCCTTAATGCTGCTGTATTTGATTCCACTACTGGTGGTCCTTGATGCTGCTGGCACTGACTGCAAAACATCAAGCTGGTGGCAGAAAACAACAGCTCTCCAGCCAGTTGCAGTTCCATGTTGCAACCAGCGTATGGCGCTGTTTGGCAAATTTAGCAATGCTGGGGATTGCTTGTTCATTAGGCTGGGAGAACAGAAAAAAACTTGGAGGGAGCTCTTGTGTTTCTAGCACAGAAAGACATCAAAATGGCAGCCATGTGTGTTTACTGTTGTCATGTTAGCCTCTCAGACTGTCTTTGAATCAGGAGTCTGCATTTCACAGTACTGATGAAAAGAGAGTCACTGTAGGATTTTTCACCTTCATCTTACCTGCTTTGCCCTTGCTCTGATGAACTGATGATATGAATGGCTCCAGGGTTGCAGACTGGAGCCGAGTAGTGTTTGGGTCGTATTTTTTAGTTGTTGATGTTCATTTCAGGAATCATCTGAGAAAATAGACATCCTTTTCTGTGTTAAATGTCGCATTGATGAACACCCCCATCATCACCACCACCATCACTAGATAAAATTAGATTGCAGTGTCCTCAAGGTCCATGGGGACACAGTTATATAATCAAATATACGGGCAGAGAGGGGCGGAGGGGGGTGTAGCGGCTTTGAGGTTTGTAATACAGGGCCTGGATTGTTTAAATATACATAGTCACAATACCATTGATGACAAGGATGTGAAAAGAGAGGGAATTGATGAAAGCGATGAGAGAGAGGCAGAGGAGGAGAGAGGAATGACAGCAGAGAGAGGAGGTAGAAAGAGGCACGCACATATGTGATGGTATACAGAAAGAGAAGCAGTGAATAGAAAGCGCCAAACGTCCCAGAAAGCCCAGCAGAGACATTCATAACGAGGCAAGAGAGATGAGGGAAGGAGAGGACTGACAGCGAGGGAAGGGAAGGCGAAAGGACACGAGGAGAGGAGAGGGGGTGGGGGGATGGAGAAAGAGCATCGGAGGGTGACTCAGAGGATGGGGAGGGAGCACGGCGGAGGGATGAGAGTGGGAGCGGAGGAGTGGGCGGGAGGAGAAGATGAGGGCTTTTCTAGCACAATAAGTGGCACACAGGTTAGAAGGAGTAAACAAGGCTGTTGGCTCTGATTGTTGGCCGTGACGCAGTGTGTCTGTCGGGGCGTGGGCTCGGGCTTATATGGTCTTGCAGTATGTGTGCTTGTGTGTGTGGTTGAGTGTGTTCCTGTTGTATGAGCATGTGTCTATATTGAAGAGCATATGGAGATATAAGGATATATAAGGGTGTGTATAAATTTTTTTGTTTTGTTTGATGTTGAGAGCCTTTTTCCTCCTCGCCTCTCCTCCCCCCTCCGCTGAGTATCAGTCTGAGCTCAGATCAGTGTGTGTTGCTGCCAGCAGCACTGCAGTCTCCAAGCTCTAGTCCTGCACCGCTTACTCAGCACTCAGCACTCCAACCCTTCACTTCCCAAAACAACCCACTGGGACACACATACACACACAGACACACACAAACACATACACACACAGACACAGACACACACAAATACACACACACACATACACACAGACACACACAAACACACACAAACACAGACACAAACACACATGCACACACTGAATATATTATCACTGTTTACCCCTTTTATAGTATGTCATTATTACAGTCTATTATAATTTTACTTACAGAAGGTATGCATGCAGACGGATGTGCTCACACATGCATATAATCCAATAAATACATACTGTAAGCATGCAAGCATACACAGACAGACACTGTGAACATAACATCCACACACGCACACATACACTGAAATTTACACAGATGCACTGTCGGTACTGTCTCTTTCAATTATGAAAACACACTCCCTGGCTACTTTATTAGGTTAGCTCCGCCACATATTCAACCTTTATGAAGCATGTAATGGCCAAATTCTGTCAAAACTTTCTGAGAGGTGTTAATTCAACTGTATGTTTATTACTGAGGTTGTAGTTAGTGTTGGTGGACTGCAAATGCCCCTCACCCCCCATCTTTTTTTTTTGTGGTGGACAAAACACTAAAAATGTTTCTTACATCTGGAGAACCAAGGAATCTCTGCAGCACTACAGTACTTCATAATGCTGTTTTGTCACACATTTTACCTTTATCAATTAAATGCAGCTTCTTTCATTCATTGTGCAGCCCTAAAAGGCGGTTAGCCTTCCTATTTTTAATTCAATAAAATTCATTAATAATACTGAATACAGCACATGTCCCATAACTTAAAAAGGTAGGCGAAAATATATTCACAGTTTCAGGTTCAAAGAAAATCAATTTTGTGTAATTTCATGCTGAGATGGATTCAGTGCTCATGGTGTGTCTGTTTCCCAAAAGAGCCAATAACTGTAAACACAGTAGCAGGGCTATGGAAATGCTGTGTCTAGTGAAACAATGGCGGCATTGTACAGATACTGGTTTACCATCCATTATTAATGAGGGAGTCATGTTTCACACCAGCCGACTGACTATACTGTATGTGTGTGTACTGCATGTGTGTGTACGCATATCTTTGTGGGTTGGTCTTTGCATGTTTGGTACCTGTGCAGGTTTACAGAGTGAGCAGCTGTATTTGTATGCGTGTGTATGTGTGTGTGTGTGTTGCAGTGATTCATCATTCGTTAGTGCAGCCTTGGCAGCACATAGATCTCTTTAGCTTTCCAAGCTATAGATTCCAATTTGCTGCAGGCCTGGGACTTTTATTATGAGAATATTGATTTGAATTTCATAGTGAGACCAATAACGCTGGGTGGTAAACGGAGGACTGGGTCTTGGCTCAGATAAACAGACTAATTCCTGGGAATGAAACCAAAAACAGATACAATAAATATCTCACAGGATAGATTACAGCTGCAGCATTTTACTGACTATACTTTCTTCGTAAAACTGAGATTTTAAAATGTGTTAATTGTTAAAGATTAGAAAATATTTTTCAGATTATCTCTTATTATCTTTTCTTCTATAGATTCACTAAAGAAATATTCTCTAACAGAATGGGAATCAAACCCCCTCAACATCGATAAGCTTAGGCTGATTTTAAAATGGATTCCAAGGGAGCATCATGAATATACTTGCAATACTAAGCCCTTTGATTTTGTAATTTATTATGCTGTTTAAGTAAGGGATACGTTGGCATTACTGGGCTTTTCTTTGTCTGCCATCTTTAAATTGTAGGAACACAAGTTTCCTCTGCCCTTAAAGCAGCTCATTAGTGTTGCTGGCAGTGATCATGAAAACCAGAGGGGTGCCATTAGCCTAAAACTAGTACTTTCTGCCTCATTTTACTTTTAAGTGTAATTGTTTTGGCGATATCTTTATACAGCGATACCTTAAAACAAAATATGGGTCACGTATGTATAAGGGTAAGGTAAATGTGTTCCTTCTGAATATTACATTTAACACAAAAATGTCAAAGAAATACACCCACAGGCTGTCAGTGGAGAATGTTTCACTGTGAAAGTGGAAGTGTGTAGATGTATTTCATCTTAGCTATTTCACTGATTTCAAGATTAAAACTAAAATATTGCTATTCTGGTATTACACACAGCAATAACAACATGTTTCAGTAGTTTTGGGAGGCTGTGGGGGAAAGACACTTCAAAGACACTTCAAATTGTTAACCAGTAACCATAGTAAAGTTTACACTTCAAACAAATATATTTTGCAGTACAGTTACTTCAGCTAATCTAAATAACTCTTTGTTTTTGTTTTTCAATCGGCAACTTTACTGTTTTGGTTCACTCTCACCCTCAGTTATCCCCCACTCTTTGTCACCATGCCACTTTGCCACTCGTTGATACGAGCACCATCAAACATAATGAGCCTAAATCTCTGTGTGGAGCCGGTACATGTTCACACACCTATTTTGTATGATACACTGTTGTAGGCAAAGGAGGTATTGGACATTTATCAAGAGGGATTTTTCACCATTGAATCAGGCTTTCACCATCTGAAGGGATGTGCACACATATTTGTAGAACAGCCAATAAGAATCAAGTCCTCTCTCTGAAATGATTGGCCAAAGTCTCCCATCATAGCTAGAATTTCTAAAGCCTGAAAACAGCCAAGAGGAGGTGCAGATGTCTGTTTTTTTCTCAGACCAGTTGAATTACAATATGCTGAAAGGTTATTATGGCATTTTGGCCAAATGATGACAAAAAATATGGCGTACCTCAGCTTTAACTGTCACTTGTTCTTATTAACAAGTTTCCTACTGGAGTCAGTCAGAACTGAAATATAATATTACACTATATCTGGTTACATTGCATTTACAATATTAGCAAACTGAAAAGCATGCTTCTGTCTCTTAATTTATATGAGACATTTTGACTAACAGTGTGATGAGATGCTCCTACTGGCTGCAACATGTCCACTGTGGTAGAAAAGTTTCACAGCTGTTGTTATGTCTTTGCATTTTGGCTCTGTTTTATACTGCAGTATCATCTGCACCCTCCCCAAACTGGCTCCTTCAGTCCTTTGGAAAAAAAGGAAAGGAGAGATGGGCTCAGTCTCTCTCTCTTTCTCTCACTCACTCACACACACTTATGCGTTCACACTCCCTGTTGATTAAGGCCTCCTCAGTGGCCAATCGCTCAGCAGTAGTTGGATTCCTGTGCAAGAAGGACATTTTAATCAAACTCAACACAGTCATAAAATATGAATGTTATATAAGGGATTGTCAGCATGGCTTTCTGATAAGCATATAAATAATACAGATGAATGTTATGTAAAAGGGGAGGGTGACAAGGAGAGAGACAAACTTTTAGAAATCCTCTTGCCACTCATGCATCAACAACTAGTAGCAACTTATGTCTTTCAGGATAAGTAATAACACCAATAATCATATTTAAATCTTACTTTCATTTCTGCATTCATTTTATTTTGAAAAATGTTCAGCTTCTGGATGTATTATTGTAGAGAAAAACACTCCATTCTACTACTGTGATGCATTCATCTTGTAAAATATCATTGGGCCTAATGAGGAGTCTGAAGAGTTTTTGTCACTTGTGATTAAGTTTCTCATTAGCATTATTTCCCTTAAAGCTCTGCACATCACATTCGTCATTCTCACTGTATCCTCTCACTGCATGGTAATGATGCTGCGTCCAGAGCTGCAGCTTGCCACTGCCGGAAAAGCTAAAGATGCCAACAGAAAACAATTAACGCCAAGCACCCCTGAATATTCATATGTTCCTGATGTTATCACGTATGTCTGTAAAGATAGCAATATGCTGCAGGGTGGAGGAGAGTCGCGGTGGGTGGAGGTTCGCTCCCTGGCAGCCTGTGGAGGATAACAAGGAGTTAAAAAGAGCAACAGAAGAGAAGGGGGAGAGTGAGGTGACTAAAAAAGAGGATCTGCATGGGGGTTACGGTAGGTCAAGAGAGAGGAGTGGTTGTTTTTCAAGTCAGACACAATAGAAGGTGAGGCTGAATGTGTGTGTGTGTG